AAGGAAAAGTGATTTCAATGCGATTTATTTCCACAACGAGAGTAACTCAGAAATGCGTATGTTTATTTTGAATGTCAGTTTCGTTACCTGACGAACAATTCTGGACGTGAAAGTTCTTCAGGCAGTGACCAGCGTCGTTACAGTTCAAGCCATCTGACACAAGCTGACGGCCACTGCGACACAAAGTAAGGTTCGCTCTCAATTGGTGTGCAATCTGCGGCAAGACTTTAATAAGGATAACAAAAGGGTCACCAAAATATACTAGATAGCGGGAAAAATTCGATCATTAGATATATATATATATAGAAACATCACGTTTATGTTGTTGAACATTAAAATTGTCTAGAAGAAGAGATGTTGAATAAGGTTGTTGGAGAGATCAGAGAGGAGCGTTTGGGAGGGGACCCAAAAAGCTAGCCCTTAACAAGGTCGTGTCAATAATTTTTTTTTTAAATCTTTCTTTTTCGTTCCCTAGAAACCAGTCATAATATTTACCTGACCCAACCCCCAATAAGGCTCTGTAATATCCTTATGCCCCCCCCACTCTCTTATTGACACTCAATTTTCTAAAGTCCCCCTCTTTACTATGCTGATGACGACCAATCTCCCATTCGCTCAGTACCCCTGAAAATTATGTGATCCCCCAAAATCTCCCTCCCCTCCTCCAAGGTCATAAGAAATTACTGTTCACCCATGAATTTTCAATTTTTCTCCACAACGAAAGGACTCACATGTACCTCGGCAACACCCACCACCTTTAGTTGTACACTTGACCGAAGTACTTACCTGGACACTCAGATGCACAGCACACAGCTCCATTGTAGACATAACAGTCAGGTCTGGTCATAGCTGGACAAATGTTTAGCGGGTCAGCGTTGGCGCCAGGAAAGTAAAACTGACATCCGTCAGATTTCCATGTTTGGCCTTTTAGATAAACACCTTTATTCTGGATAAATTCCAAGCCTAATTGTAAGGAGCACAATTAAGATAAGTTACTTTAATTTCAAAAGCGAAAGATTATGAAGGACCTGTCAAGTAATGGTCTATTACAACAAAAAAAGAGGACAATTTCAAATCGCTAAAAGTAATAAAAATTAGGGGAAAAAACATAAATAATCAAGTTTCAGGAGGGGGACTTGCAAGTAACTTATCAGAGATGAGCTGCAAGATTTCTGTTTATTATGGTGAGTGGAGGGATTGCCGACTACCGAGTGAGGGGAGGCGTGCCAACTACTTTTGTCACTTATTGTAGCTCCCTAATACCTTCGCAATCATTTCCATTTTCTCGTATAAACTTGGCGACGTTGCATAAAGGTTGATTGCAGTCTTCATGGTGCGTATAGATACCACTGAGATAGCCCGGGAAGTTTATTTTGAAGTGTCTGCTGCATGTCAGCAGCCCTCCTTTGCAGTAACACTTCATACATTGAGAAACTGGCCAACCGTTTTTATCTTTTATGAGATAGACACCGCCCTCATTGTCTCTACAAACGGCTGAAAGAAAATATTAGAACATCAGGCATGTTCATTGTTGACTTCTTATGGTGATTTCAATTGTAAAATACTGAAAGAAAACATCAGAAACGTAATGAGTATAGCTTTTAGAATAAGTGTTTTTACGCGTCCCTCAGGTGAAAAGATACAGCAGTCAGACAAGGGCAATTGCAAAAGCTTATTAAAGTACGAAAAAAGATTAGTGAAAAATCTCCTCCTAATCCCAAGAAAAAAACAGACAAACAAATAATATGGCAAATAAAAATGGACAGATTTAGGCATCCCCTGCAAATTATCATGATTACAGCAAAATACCATTTTCGCAGTCGTTTTCGTCTGACTTATCCGGGCATTCATAAATTCTGTTGCACTGGTGACTTTTGTGAATAAAGGATCCCCGACTTGCACATTGGAACAGCTTCTCTTTTGTAGAGAGGTCATGATATGCTAACAATAGATAGAATGAGTAAATAATTATCGACCGACCAAGACGGCGGAAGGAAAAATATGTCGCAGTTCCACAGTTTCATTCATGTTCTTGGAAAATACAAAATAATCGTGTCAATACTGAGCCGGATAACTTCACTCCGACCGGCTTTCACAAAGGTTTATATGGAATTGCACGCCCGGGGCCGTTCGGTCATCTTATGAGAGATTCATTCTACCGTAATAATGTTTAGATACATTTGTGAAAAGGAAAACAAAAGATCAAGAGAGAGACACAAAGTAGACGTACATAACACCTCTCTATTTCATTCTTTTGAAAAAGGCTTAGATATGTCGGAAAATATGGTAATCCCTTTTTACTTGCTAAACATGATCATGGAAACGCAGAAAACTATCGGACCAATCATAAATCATTATTATGCAAGTTAAATAACTCAATTTTTTTTAACTCACCTCTGCATGAACTTAGGGCACCCTGCGTTCTAGACATGACTTCACACCCTTCACAGGTTGGATATGAATTGACACTGTACAACCCATGAGTAATATTGACATGGTAACCAGTGCAGTTTATGCTACCAAGAATGCACGTGCAGTGCACGCAAGAACCGTTAGTCCACGTTTCTTTATCCTTCCTAAAGTTTCCGTTGCCATCCATGCAAACGGGCTGTTTTAAAGTAGTGCATGCTACCAAGTTTCCTTGATTACAGGTACAACTGATTGTTGGGCTCTGTAACCACTGGTCACCAGGATTTTTTGTGTTTCCATGGTTATCAGCGCACCTAAAAATCAACGTGCACTGGATGGAAAGTGGTGCGACGCATCGGCATAAATTAAAAGGAGTGGGCATCCATTCGTCACCGACGTTATAAGTGGTGCCGTCTGACGCCGTACAGGTTTGAGCTGACGTAAGTAACGAGTGACAAGAAAAAGGTTCAGGTGATAAATTGCCATAGAATACCTTTTGTTATGGATTACAACTGTAAAATAAGTGTCTACATTTCTAGAATGCCAAGTCAAGCTGACATGCAAACCATGAAATTTCCTAGAAAATTCTATTAGGTCACGTAGTTATGATGTAATACCAATAAGACAGATGTATTTTGAGCTTCCAGAATGTTCTAGGATACCGTTTAAATGTGTGTAAAGACTCAGTCGTGTATCAGTTGTGAGCTGTTGTTTTCGGGAGTAACGGACTGTCTGGAAAGCTATATCGAGAGTGAGCTAATGTGGAAGATTGTCCATTTCGAAGAGATATGGGGACAACTGCCGGTGGGATTGTGTCAGTGATGGGCTTAGATATATACTGTAGTGGACTTAGGTAAGTTTTTAAAGGAAAATTACGGTACTGCCTTTGGGAATCGCTCCTTTGTAAGAACAGTTCACGTTGTTTGATAAAGAAGTTGAGTTTGTAGGATTGTAGTGTTATTTCTGTCGGTTAAATTCTACCATAACACTAAACAAACAACACAGTCACAGCTTACAAGCTTGGTTTTAAAAACGTTCATAATGTAAGTGAGTATCTCATAGCATTGTACCTAATCTCTTTAATTTCAGTCGCCTTTTTGTTAGTATTAGTAGTGTGACTATGTGACAAAAAATTTTTAAGATAATACATTCGCTTTCATTGGTCGATTGATAGGTTTAGAGGAGAGTATGTAAACGAGGTTGATGAACACCGACCAAGGAAATTACGTGTAATATCTCACTCAATGATATTTATAACAACAACGTTCAGTGGGTAATATACAGTAATGCCAGTATTCTATGCGTTGCGTTGTTTGGTTGATGCATAATTATAATTGCGTCAAAGAGAAAGAAAATTTCGCTGAAGACCCACCAAAGCTGATGGTTGGGAGCAATGAGAGATTTTGAGCTGTGAAAGAAAACAAAAATGAATCGATGAATAGATAAATTATCAAAAGTTAATGATGATATTTGACTCTGTATGTTAATAATAACCCACACTCAGTTAAGAGTTAAGGAAGTTCCGCATTTGACTTGGGTAAAGTATAGAAGTATTGCCCCCAAAACAACGTCTTTGTGCGATGTAACTCAATTGTAC